GGTCCTGTGGGGTCAGGGTGCTTTGTGACACCCCAGTGCCCTCCCGCTTGCAGGAGGGGATCGGTCTGGATGCCATCAACGACGCCTTCCTCCTGGAGTCATCCGTCTACAGGCTGCTGAGGATGTACTGCGGGGAGCGGCCCTACTACCTGCACCTGCTGGAGCTTTTCCTGCAGGTGAGCCTGGCCCCCCTTCCCCCTCCCGCACATTTACCTCGGGTCTGGGCTCCTCCTGGATTTTTGGCAGCGTGTGGCTCTCAGACTGTTCCTTAAGTTCCTGGGCGTCCTGCCAGACGTGCACCCTTGCTTCAGACTTGGGGAGGAGCCGAAATGGGGCTTAGGTTTGGGGTGAGGACTTCCCTGGGGGACAGTGTGACTAAATCCTTTCTTTCCTCTGCAGACTGCCTACCAGACTGAGCTCGGGCAGATGCTGGACCTCATCACTGCTCCTGTTTCCCAGGTGGATTTGAATCGCTTCAGTGAGCAGAGGTAAAGAGACGCGAGGGCACAGAGATGCCAGCCCCGCTGTGGCAGGGTGGCTCTGCTTCCAGTCCCTTCCAGACTGTGTAAGAGAGACAGCTGGCTTGCTGAAATGCTGCTGTCGCCTGCCAGGCTTTGGGCAGCAAGTCTTGCTCGCGCTTGTCAGAGCTTGGGAGCTGGTTTGGAGGGAGACGCTGCTTTTGTCCTGCTGGCAGGAGAGGAAGGGCTGGGCTTTGGCACTGAGTGTGGTTCCTCTGCCGCAGGTATAAGGCAATTGTTAAGTACAAGACGTCTTTCTACTCCTTCTACCTGCCCGTGGCCGCTGCCATGTACATGGTGAGTTTTATGGAAACGGTCTCAGGAGGGGCCTTGGCCCTTGATGTGAAGCTGTCGAGGGGGGCAGGAGGTTGGGGAGATGGGAGAAGGAAGGGCGGGAGGCAGGTACGTGAAGACTTTATTCCTTTTTCCGCCCCTTAGGTTGGTATTGACAGTAAGGAGGAGCATGACAATGCCAAAGCGATCTTGCTGGAGATGGGTGAATTCTTTCAGATCCAGGTAGGAGGTGGCTCCTCGTCCCTCCGTGCTTGTGAGACGCTGGTTGTGGCGCTGACGTGTTTCCATCTTTGTACAGGATGATTACCTGGACTGCTTTGGGGACCCGGAGCTGACAGGGAAGGTTGGCACTGATATCCAGGACAACAAGTGCAGCTGGCTGGTGGTGGAGTGTCTGCGTCGGGTCACGCCAGACCAGAGGCAGATCCTGGAGGTAACGGAAACCCCCTGAAGACGGGGGGGAGAGGCGGTGTGGACTGCCACACCGCTGTGTAGTGCCATAACGCACACCTGAAAAGCCACATGCCGCCCTGCATAGCTGTGCTGTGCTGCTGCCTGGCTGGAGGAGGGTTGGTTGGTGTGAGTAGTGTGAGCTGTAGCAGGGAGAGCAAGAGGCGACTCCTGCGCCCCTCTGAACAAGCAGCTACGGCTGCAAGCCGGACCTCAGCCTGACTTGTTCTGGTGTTTTCTCAGGAGAACTATGGCCGTAAGGAGCCCGAGAAGGTGGCAAAGGTGAAGGAGCTCTACGAGACTCTGGGCATGGAGTACGAGGAGAGCAGCTATCGGCGCCTGCAGGAGCTGATCGGAAAGCACGCCAACCGCCTTCCCAGGGAGATCTTCCTTGGCCTGGCACAGAAGATTTACAAGCGGCAGAAGTGATGGCGGGGCCTGGCTGTGGACTGCGTAGTCTTTGCAAAGGGGGTCTGGCAGGGTTTGCCCCCC